CAAGAAAGAGATAAGTGCAAGCAGTCTTTGACTTAGAACTATTCGTTTTGAAGTTACAACGGCACTGAAAAATAGCAATAGCACTTTGACTTATATACTGCTTTACAGTCCTCTCTAAGCGGTTTACAGAGTCAGCCTCTTGCCCCCCAACAATTTGGGTCCTCATTTTACCCACCTCGGAAGGAGGGAAGGCTGAGTCACCCTTGAGCCTGGTGAGGATCGAACTGCAGGATTGCAGGCAGCTGGCAGTCAGCAGAAGTAGCCTGCAGTACTGCACTCTAACCACTGTGCCACCATGGTGCAAAAAGTGATCGATGACCAGTTTTCGCACTTAAGGACCATTGCTTGCATTCCCATGGTCATGTGATCAGCATTTGGCAACTGGTATGCATTTATAATGGTCACAGTGTGCCAGGATGCGATCACAATTTGTTACCATCCCAGCCGGTGTCTGATGAGCAAAGTCAATGTGGGGGGGGGGGATCCAGATTCGCTTAACGACCGCATAATTCACTTAACCACTGCAATGATTCGCTCAATAGATGTGACAATAAAGGTTGGAAAAAACGGGGCCTGACTGCCTTGCTTATGAGTGGAAATTTTGGACTCATTTTTTTTGTCGTAAGTCGTGGACTGCCTGTATTTATTTAATCTACTGTACTTTTCTGAGTATAAGACGCATCAAGATTTTGAAGAGGCAAATAAAAAAAAGTATTTGCATTCCGCAGACCTCCCAAAATCGGCCTGTTTTTCGCTAAAAATGGCCGCGTTTTTTTGTCAAAAAAAGAGGGCATGAATCGCCTTTAGGAGGCTTGTAGAGTCCTCCTGGGTACTGGTGTTTTGTTTTGTTTTTTTGCAAAAATGAGCAAAAAATGACCCAGTTTTTTGCTCATTTCTGCCCTCCCCAGCCCCCAGGAGCACTCTGGAAGCCTCCTAAAAGCTATGCACAACCATTTTTGCAAAGGGGGTGGGGTTTCGGGAGGCCAAAAATGCTGTATGAGACGCACCCAGATTTTCACCCTCTTTTTTGAGCTCTATGGAGCTACCTCTGCCCCAAACATGATGCAGTTCGTTCATTATTTGTCCCGAACGAGACATAGATTTTTCCCCCACTTGTTCCAGTGACAAGTCTGTTGCTAATCTGGATTTTTTTCCTCCCTTTCTTCCTTTAGATTGTGATCCCATTTTTCAGCCTGCTTATCAAGGACATTTACTTCCTCAATGAGGGCTGTGCCAACCGCTTGCCCAATGGCCATGTCAATTTTGAAGTAAGTAGTGCGTGCTCGGGGTTCAAATGCTGACCTCCCCGAATTAAACACAGTAGCTGAAAGCCTCGTCTAGATTTTGGAATGCAGATGGAGGAACTTTATATGGGTCACATCAAGGCTCTGACATGTTTCCCTTCCCTTCCAACCATTGTTGGTGTTCTCTGAGAGGGATGAAGTGGCTCAGTGGCTAAGACGCTGAGCTTGTCGATCAGAAAGGTCGGCAGTTCGGCGGTTCGAATCCCTAGCACTGCGTAACTGAGTGAGCTCCCGTTATTTATCCCAGCTTCTGCCAATCTCGCAGTTCGAAAGCACGTAAAAATGCATGTAGAAAAATAGGAACCACCTTTGGTGGGAAGGTAACAGTGTTCCGTGCGCCTTCGGTGTTTAGTCATGCCCAGCCACATGACCACGGAGACGTCTTCGGACAGCGCTGGCTCTTCGGCTTTGAAACAGAGATGAGCACCGCCCTCTAGAGTCAGGAACAACTAGCACCTATGTGCGAGGGGAACCTTTACCTTTACCTTTATAGGCACGAAGGAGTAGGACTTGAGCAGAATTACAAAAGGCAAGAGTTATAAGGGCTCCTTGGTGCTCTCTGAGCTTGGTGGTTTTCTTGCAGACATTTCTTTACCCAAACTAGGTAACGTCATCAGTACCTGAAGGGGAGTGGGGTTTGCTCTGCGTTTATAATCTAGTGAATTGCAATCTGGTGGGAATTGTCCTGGAGATTCTCTGCATGGGCTGTTTATTGTTAGCTATGTACCACAAACAAAGAACCTCTAAGACTACCCCACACAACACTGACAGAACAATCCACTAGAACAGTGTTTCTCAACCTTGGCAACTTGAAGATGTCCGGACTTCAACTCCCAGAATTCCCCAGCCAGCGAATGCTGGCTGGGGAATTCT